TGTCGTCGTACGTGCTATTGCATGCAATGTGAGGACCAGTAGTCCGCAATGGCGGACTATAAGAGCATTTTGTTCTCCTAATGTGAGCTCATAGAGTGGGATTGCTCAACAGATTGTTGCTAACATTTTTAACAAATTCATATTCATTTCCCATATACATACAGGGCTGGGGGAAGTCTTTGAATACGGTATTTTTGACTCAATGATATGCTGGGCAAGATGATTACATGAAATCAATAAATAATGTTAATTACTGTCTGTTACACAAAACTGGCTTTACAATTCGAAGATTCCTCTTTTGACGCCAGCACAAGCTCGGAAACGCTTGGGAACGCTGTCCATGGTGGCAGGAAGGTGCTTCACGTCGATTTCTTCCAACGCTTCCCGAAGAGCAAGTCGCAGAAACTACGCTTCTTGCGTGGGTGAGCGCAGACTTTGGCCTAAAGAACTGACCACACACTTGGACAATTCTTCTATGCCGTACAGGTTTTTATTGGTGATACACTTTATTACTGCCTTACGTTTCGGTTAAACACCGTCTTCAGAGGCCTGGAAAGGAGTCAGTCCCTCTGATATTACTTTCCTGCCTCCAAAACCTCTTCACACCCGCGTATTCGATTCGTCTCGGGTGGAGATTGAGAGACTGGGCGTGAAAGTCTACCCACCGAGTGTATCACCGTGGCAGCAGCGTATGTGCTTCAGGACGTGCTCGAGTAACTTGTCGAATGAGCAGTTGAATCACTATGAGATCACTACCCACTGCAGTCAGGAGTATTCAAATCCGGCCAATACGGAAGCCATTTTGCAGAAGTATTGAACTCCTTGATGTTGCTTTGGAGACATGTTTGAAGAAACTTTGCTTTGTGAGCAGGTGCGCTATCCTGGGGGACACCAATCGCTCCTGGTAAAATGGGCATTGGTCTAGGTCAACAATCCTTCTTCAGGATGCTATCCACGTGCGTAGCGGTGTCCACCCGATGTCCTGGGACACAAAAATCGCCAGCATCTTGCTGTCGGAAGCGATCGCCGCAGAAACCATTATAGAAACCGGATGAAGCTTTCTTTCTGCAAGTCAACCCTTGCTATTGACTTCTGGGGGCGGATCAGGTGATGATTCTTGTTTGGCGATCAAAAACTTTCCTCACGGTGAAATTTGACGTCAGAAAAGAGTATCGTTCGGTGGCGTACCTTGGAGAGACTCAAGCAGTCAATGGTATAAGCGCAGTCAGTTCAACTTTGTGTCCTCCCAAAAAGCATAAAATTTTAGCATCCTGAAAAACTTCATTGCAAGGACCTCTTCTACGATGTCGAGACTGTCCTGCCAGAGATAGACAGCTCTAAAGCCAGCTCAATCAAGCTTCGCCCAGGATTGCGACGACGAAGGCGTCGGCGAACAATTTTCAGAATTTCGATACTGTCCGCAGTAGCCAATTTACCACTCATACAACAGTCCTGGGTGCTGCATATCTTGGAAACGATGCAAGGTGGAAAAGATCCTGATCTGTAGAATTTGAAGAGCCCGCGCAATTTGCTAGTCAGCAATCCTCTCCTAGTGCATCTTCTCAACCAACGCTCGCTCCAGCCCAGAAGGCATGGTAGGAAAAAAGGTAATAGTCCAATTTTTGAGGGCTTGTGCTCAAGAGTGTAAGAAGCAAACATATATTAGGTTGTCCCAAAAGCAAACTCCTTCTTTGAATAACTCAAGCTGTCTTCGTTTTCTTAGTAAATTTAGGGTATCATTCGACAGAGCAGATCAAGCTCTACAAAATGACCGTCAAGGGTCCGCCTAAGTTGCCTTCCATGTTAAGTTTGAAGCCAAAGTCGAAAAAAATCTTGCCACTGAAAATTGGATTTCTGCGACAAAGAATCCTACAGACCTCCAACTTGGTCATTATACAGTAGGCATGTAGTAGTGCACAAATATGCCTTTACCGAATTTTTTCCGAGCATAGGAAGCGAGGAACAAGAATTGTCCAAAAATAGCAAACTCCGCCCTCAGACCCTCTCACATAATGTCATTGTATACTACAAGCCTAACTAAGTATAATTATTAGGGTGATCGGTAAAAAAATGGGGCACTTAGAGAACAACTGTAGATTTCTCAAAAAAGAAAAGTGGTTAAACTTCCCAATTTTGATAGATATTAGAACAGATTATTATCTTTCAGAAAATACCTTTGTAAGATCATTTACCTACGTAATAATTTTTATAGTGGCTGAAATACATAGTTAGTCACTTTGACAAATTATAAACTTTGGGTAGTGTCTGCGCAGTGAAACATGTGAAACCACCCAAAGTACCACTGCTGGAGTAGGTGGTGGGACAGTCACCAAACCCACGACGGCTTGGTGGCCTCAACTTTCAAAGTCAGGAGATATGGCCATTAGCAGCTTCGAGAACAAAGATCGCGTTATTCAATTCTTTGCAGATGAACGCATATTTTCTAGGTACCATCTGATAGAGCTTTTTACGCTCTATCCATTCTTGTGCAGATTACCTCAGATTTTATCTATCTTCGGAAAATATAAGGCAAAACATGATTTTTTGGTTTTTATTGCGCCAAAAAATCGAGATTTTTAAGGTATTTCGCTTTTTTTAATCCAGAAATAAAAAGAAATCCTTATGTTTAGTATATTTTTTGAAAGAGCACGAAGAGCCCTTTCGAATGGTATGTCAGCTGATTTACGACTTTACGGTATGGCAGCGCAAGAATAAGCGATGTTCTAAAAACCCTGTCTGAGTTCTTCATGGCGCCACGCGTACGGTTATGAGAGAGGAGCACTAACGAATTGCCAGAATGATAGGCGAAGGTCGGTTATGTAAGCGACGTTTGAGTTGCAAGCTGTTTGTTGTTGGTAAGAACAAAAAATTCTAAAATATAAAAAAAATCAAGCTGCCCCATTTTTTACCGATCACCCTAATACAAAACCTTACCCCTGCATGTGCTCTTATAATCGAGAAATACCAAGTTTTACATAAAAAACCGAAAAAAGTGGCATTTTGGCATTTCAAGACCCTATTTGTTTTTCAATTTTAAGCCCCAAAAAATCCACCAATTACATTTTTGGGTACTACTACGTGTCTACTATATAAAGACCATGTTGGAAGTCCGTAGGAATTTTCTGGAAAGAGATTCGATCTTTAGGGTAGCTGAAAAATTTTGATTTTTGTCTTCAAAATTTACCTAGTTTATGAGTTAGTTGGAACTTTGGTAGTCTTTTTGTAGAGCTTGCTGCGCTCTACCGAATGGTACCCTAAATCTTTCACAAAAACAAAAACAGCTCAAGTAGTTTGAAAATGGAGTTTACTTTTGGGACAACCTAATATATTAGGTCGTTCCGAAAGTAATGTCGCTTTTTTCAAATAGACGCCACATTTCATGGAATCAAGATTTTCAAGAGATCCTAGAAGTTTCGATGCAGTATTTCATCCTCTTTCTAATCGTTGTAATTTCATTGCATAATTTTCAGTGAGCTTGCGAAAAATTAACAATTCTGCAACTCATGCTTTTTGCCATCGTCAAGTTCGGCAATTTTTTAAAATTTTTGTACCTAAAAACCCTCTCCGAAAAAGTACAGGTGGCAGATAGATAGAGCAAACACCATAGAACATAGAGTAATTTTTTCTTTTCCTTAGCTTGCTTCTCAGAGTTTCTACAATCAATTTCTCAGTGCCATCAAATTCCATATTTAGTCAAGTCAAACCCCACAGAACAATAACCGGCAAGCGACTCGGGTGTCATTCGATGCAGCTTTTTCTCCTCTTTCTAGCGGTTGTTTTTTGTTAACGATTCATCAAGTTTTCCGGGATAAAATCATCATAATTCAGGTTTTCCAGGGCGCCTCCGGCTGTACCCGGAATTTTCGAAAGTTGCTAGTCTGAAGCGGTAAACGCTCATTTGCTTTGTAAAATTAGTGTAAAACCATAATCCATTTTTGTAAGTTTCAAAATCCGACGATTTCTTGGTGTTTGATGCATTTGTGTCTGAGACGAGTCTGCTAAATTTCGGTGTTCCATCAAAAAATCTATACAGAAATTATGACGAGCTCTGAAAAGTAGAAAAAAGTTGTGCTGTTTTCCGTAGGGTTTGCTCTATCCGTACATAAATTGGACTCCTTCCGGGGGTTGTTATAAAAATTTAGAAAAATTGTGAAACTTGGTCTTCTCAAAAAGCACCGGTCGCAGATTTCGATAGATTTTCGAGAGGTACTGAATTTTGTGCAGTGGTTATATAACCATCGGAAAGAGAATGAAATGCTGCATCAAATGCTACCAGAATCCTTTACACATCTTTGTTCCACGAAATGTGGCGTACGTTTGAAAAAAGCGACTTTACTTTCGGAACGACCTAATACTTAGCTTACAAAAATTTGTCAAAAACCGAACATACAAAGACATCAAAAATTGTTCAAGGACTTTCCCCCAACCCTGTACATTACTTAAAAGCTATTCAATTTTGTCGTAATGAGCTTCGGCAAGTTAAAGGCAGTGTCCCGGCAGATTTTGCACCTCCACCTTTTTGCATGTTTTAGGTCTTTTCGCCACGTAGAATCCGAATTTGAGCTTTGAACGGGCTGAAAAGGCCGATTTTGGGGCGTTTTCCTAATTTCAGAAAAGCAGCTTGGACGAGATTTTTATTGGAAAGTTGGGGGAGGTCCTCAGACGAAGATCCTGCCGCCTGTAATTCTTGCTTTGAATAGCATGCATCATGGGGGAGAGCGCTCGTGGGGTCCCGCGCCGAACAGGCGGGGAAGGCCGTCCAAGCGCGCGCCATTTGGGGTTGCGCGCGCCGGTTCAAGGGCCATTTTCTCGGCCCAGGAGGAACATCACCCAGCCGGAGTGTGCCTGGAGGTCGATGGGGTGACCAGGAACCCCACCACACGTATATCCCCCAGGACCCGAATCTGCCGGGACACTGCCTTTAAGAGGATAAAAAATAAAGGCGGATTCCTTTAAAAACTGGAGCTTCAAAGGAAAATCTCCTTCGAAAAGGAGACGCGATGAGCAGGCAATCAATCACAACGATACACATCCTTATTAGTATGCCTTCAAAGCGGCAAATCAAATGTTTGTCCAAAAGCAGCCAGACTAGATTCCTAGTTCCGGAATGATGAATTCAGTCGTTTCCAGAGTCGCCCGCGTGACGGCGCTGTGCCGGTGCCGGCGCCGTTTCGTTCCAATGCCGTGCCAGGACTCCCTGCACACGCACCCCTATTGATCGATAAGCGGCATCAGCACTGCGCTGTAGCGATCCTGGCCAAGGTTCGATACAGCTGGCACGGGTCAAGTTGGATTTCGTTTTTGGAACAAAAAGCAGAGGAGATATCGTTTTTGTAGCCGAAAAGACACAAAAACTGCGACGTTTTTTAGTCGACCTTTTGGTTTTTCAAAGATCTTTTACGTCTAGGGTTTATCGTTAAAGGAGACTTCGTAATATTTTGCGAAGGTCAAGAGGAATTTCGTTTCGAAATTCCCTTGGTGAAGCTCATGTCGAGCCCTGATCCTGGCACAAAACTATGCCAATCGCACAATTGCGCAAACAAAAAGTTGTAGCGGTTTTTTGGCGATAAAAATCTTGGTGAATAGTTATTGCCGGCATTTTGACATTTATGTTTCCTTTTCGCGCAAATTTTTTTCGAAATAAAATTGTCGAAATTCCAACTTTAGTGGTTGTATAACAGATGAAATCTTTCCAAATCGCTTAATGGGTCTTCTTGTGTTGGATTAGACAGATCTGAGCTCTAGCTACGAAACTGCTTTGATGTTCAATTAAGCAGCTGAAGCACATCCAAACACTATATTCAACACAATAGGATCCCTTGGGCGAAGTGAACATAACATTTGCAATCAGAACGTCAAGCAACCATTCACGGTGGAATTTCAGCGAACTATGCGACCCTTAGATTTTGGGCAAAATTCTTGAGGACTTGTTTTCGTAGGCTCGTAAATCCGGGATTCTCACAGACTGGATTCTGAAACATGCACCGTTCGATGGCAAAGTTCCCAGTAAATTTGAGCTACTGAAGCAAGCGGGCAGATTTTCTGACGATACGCGAGAAGTGCGGGCAAAGTTACACAATTTCGTGAATCAGTTACGGTTACCTCAACGTATCCATGCAGAGACCCCATATTACTCAAAGGCTATCATTTTCGTAAAGAGCGTGGCCGAAAACCTCTATAAGCGGAGTTTTCTTCCAAACCAAGATCATCAACATTTTGACCAAAACCCACTGAGCTTCAGAGCATGAAACGAGAAAAAACAAATAAGCTGGAGTTCTCTCAAAGCTTGCCTGTTGATTACGAATTTCACATCTGCTTAGCAAGAGAGTTCCATATTTTAGAGTCACGGTGAGAAAAATTTAGAACGAAATGACTTTTCCAGAATTCACCAACGCTTCTCTCTCTTTTAGAAAAAAGGTTGCGGCTATTTTCTAACGCACTATAGCTAACAAAAACAGCACTATCAAATGTAATCATAAGCATCTTTTATGTCGGATAGGCGCTGCGTTACATCCTTGCGAAAGGACCTTCGCAGAAGAATTTAAGAAAACTGGAGACGAGATATAGAGGACGAGATGCACGTCAAAAGATTCGACTTGACGAGCTGAACACAACGCTGTTTCGGACATAGAATATATTCATTTCGAAGGAAGTTATGGCGCTGCGTAATTTGCGATATTCCGGGAACTTCGCGTTAATTCCGGAATATCGCGAAATTCCCGTCCTGTGGGTAGTGTCGTACATTGCACAGCAAGCGCGGCATTCCACAGTATGTGCTTCGTATGCAATTTTCAACCATTCCTCTTTATTTTACTGCATTTTGGGATCCGTCATACTTAGCCGAGAAAAGCCCATTATACATACTCGTGCAGAATGAGCCCTTAAACCATACCTACCGTAATTCTGCAGTGCTCAACAGAATGTGACCTCTGGAATCAGCGCACTGAATAGTCCATTTACACTACAATTCCAAGGAAAAAACCTATATCCCACGACTAGGCACATCTATATGCTGGGAGATGCGCCTCGCCGAGTTGAGTTGAATAATACTCTTAAATATAGAATTCATAGACTTTGAGTCAAGATCTTTCGACGATTTCCGAAAAAGTTAGGCGGCGGCCGCCTAACTTCGGCCATCGCCGCTGAGTTGAGCGGCAGCCGCCAATTTTTTCACAAATTACGAGCGGTGTTGTATGCTAATATCGCACAATTGCGCAAACAAAATGTTTTGTAGCGCTTTTTTCGATAAAGTTTTTGGTGAATAATTATTGCAGGCATTTTGACATAAAATAGCGCCATACAATGCTCGTTATGCTTCTTTTTCGCGCAAAACTTTTTCGAAAATAAAAAGGAAAAATAAAATTTTTAACGATTCTACATCAATAAAAGGCACTGCGCAATTGCCACAAGCATCTTACCTACCAGGTTTTGTCGGTATGCAGCTCTTCTTTTGTTTTTGGGATGCTTTATCTCAGCGGTTTCTTTATTTCAGAAAGTCGCCAAAGTTTCGAAATGAAGGTCTTTGTTCTCATCATGCTGGTGGGTATCTTCAAATATAGACGGCCAAAATAGTTTTTTCCTGTGGTTTCGACAATACTTGCGCGTGAACAAAATTGTCAAGCATATATTTCAAATTTGCGCTATCATGGTCCAGAAGCCCAAATTTTCTTCGATTGCGCACTATGGTCATTCACCGTTAGCATATCGTCGGCAACCGCTAGAGTACTTTACGGCCTTTCATATCCACAATTTTTTTCTTTAATTTCACTAACTTGACAGATGGTTCTCATGGCCGCTCTGCTGACTGGTAATGTCCTGTACTTTTACTTATACATTTGGTAAAGTGTCTACATTAAGACGCAGTAGACGGCAAAGGCCGCGGAGTAAGCCGCGGGGTAAGCCGCGGAGTAAGCCGTGGAGTAACCCGTGGAGCAAGCCGCGGAAAAAGCAGCGGAGGAGTCCCCGGAAAATCCCGGAAAAGGAGCAAACCAAAACGCAGGAGAGGACCCAAACGCTTGTTTGGCTTTGGCCAAGCAGGTAAAGATATCTTAGAACAGATCTCACAATCAGATATTTGTCCATGGCCTTGCGCATGATCATTAGTTCGCGCACTTTCGCACCGCTACGGCCTGCCTTTACGCGCTTCATCAAATCTGCATTTTTTCATTTGTCCTTCAAATAAAACTTTGCAGATGATGATGAAGAGGGGGAGGATGATGAGGAAATTACAGGTGACAATTTCGAGTTTCACTTTGATGCAGCGCATCGAATAAGATGCCTATTTAGACGATGAAATCACAAAGAGACCACGTGGATGTCCACCATGTCCAAAACCTGATTATGGTCGGCTCAGAAAGCAAATTTGCTCATAGTGAAGTAAATGAATTGCGTGGATGCGAAGAAATAAATATCATCGTGCACTCTTACATCTCTTAGGAGGAAACTATATATGCAAACTAACAAGAGAACACCTGTAAAGCAATCAAACTGCAATGTAAACATCTTTGTCCATACAGAAATCCATGATCGCAGTATTGTAAGCGACAAGCTGTTCGCAGGTACTTGGCGTATCAATTGCGAGTCGGGTGCACCAGCATCTTTGCCGCTACCGCGCGACCGCCTCGTCTGGACTTTACACCTCTTTTGCGAACGTGCTCTCATGTCACTTTCCCTACAAGCGTGAGAAACACGGGGCATAAATCGCTAATTAAATATACGGAGATGGTTAGGGAGCATTTTCGCGAAAGAGACGCAGAGCCAGGCGAGGCGGCCACACGGGAGCGGAAATGCTCGCGCAACCCGACTCTGCAAATGATAAGCCCTGTATGTATTTTGGAAGGGAAATATACTAGTTTGAAGGCAGCGTCCCGTCAAAATGATGGGGCCGGGATCTTACAGTGTTGCATTGATAGACCCTCCAGTCAGCCTATCAGTGAAGTCTGCAGCGAAAAACGCTTTGGGACCCTGCCCACTTCTTACACTTCCAGCATAGCTTCAAAAAAGCTCTTTTTTGCCGTTTTCGGGGGCTAAAAAGCTCAGATACGGCTTCAGCATGGCGAGAAGGCTCCGAAGAGGTAAAAAAACCGAAAAGCGAAATTTTGCCGGGACACTGCCTTTAAAGGCAGCATCCAGACAAATCTGAACATATGGGGATCTCACGTAGATACTAGTTTTGGGGCTCTAACTGAGCCACTGCCCACCGGCAACTTAGTTAGTGCTTAACGGCTGAGATATTCCCACTGGACCCCAGGATCGCGCGCAATCTACGTTTCGCGCAAGGATCCACGCGTTGCACCATTCCATGCGAACTACGATCCTCGGGTTTACTTTGAGGGAAATGCCTCAGCCGTTAGAGCGCTATATGAGTTGCCGGTTGGGCAGTACCTTAGTCAAGGCCCCAAAATTACTATCCACGTGAGATCCCCATACTCTGACATTCGGTCCGTGCGGCGCGCGCTTGTTAATGCGAGCAGTGTGGCCCGCGCGCCTAGATTTACGGGCGGGGTCACGTACCGTGCGGCCCGCGCGCCTTGATTCCTTAGCGTACGACCCGCGCGCACTATGTTCTCACCGTGCCGCCCGCGCGCCTCCAATTCTCACACGCTATAAGCGTAATGGGTACCAGCGTGAGGTACGACGCTGTATTAGGCTGCTCCATCACTTGTGAAGCTGACTTATCATTTCTTGGCATTTGAGTAATCGCAGGAACATAATAGGTTTTTTGCTTCTACGGAGATTATCCCTCGACAGCGTCTCGAATGGGTGCTAAATTTGAATTTTTGAATTCTAGAATTCAAATTCAAATTTTCGAATTTTTCAAATCCGGAATTTTTTTGGAATGTACAGTTGAGAATACTCACGGCACGACGAAAGAAGAAAAAGAAGCTCTATGAAAGACTTATTCTCTAGTAGCTTGCGGACGGAGCGCTTTCGATACCGTGCGGCCGCGCGCATTCACCGTTCGGCCCGCGCGCATTCACCGTTCGGCCCCCGCGCACGGAGCGTTCGGCCCCCTCGCACTACAAGGCGCCGCACGGGGAGCACGCGCGCGCCGCACGGACCGAATGTCAGAGTATGTTCAGATTTGCCTGGACGCTGCCTTTAACGTTGGCTTGGTTGGTGCCTTCATCAATGCATTGGTTCTCCCTACCTTTGATAAAGGGATAAATTGAAGCTACAGATAAAGTACGGCTCGATGCCCTTTGAACATCAGACACTTGGTGACTACTCGTACAACAGGTCACTGATACAGGTATAATATCTCACTTATTAACTCTACTGCACATAAATTTCGTCGAAAGGAAAAAGCAAGAATGAAAGGAAGTGCCGTGAACGCGACCGAAATGATGGTTATCTTCAGTATCGGCAAATAATTATATGCCAGTGGCGGTCCGAGGGGGGGGGGGGGCGACTGCATTTACTGCAACACAGGCAACACATGTGATGCATGGCTATACCTTGACAGAGTTTATGAGTTAGGTTGATGGGCTCCTCTACTCGAGAAGTATGGCAACACCAAGAACACTAGCAACAAAGGCAACATTGGCAACATTTGCAAGACTGGCGACACTCGCAACACCTGGTAGTCAACCTAGTGGTCTATGGAGTTGCTTAGGTTACTTTGTGTCATGTCCGGAGTATGGCAACACGACATCAGCAACATACGCTAGCAACATCGGCAACATCTATAGTACTGCAACATCTGTGATGTTGCCATGACAGCACGTGCTTACCTACTCTGCTACTTTGTCACCTACAAAATGTATGTGCGGCCCTCCTCTTCGCTTTGACCAATCACAGTGGAGCTTGACCAATGAGCGCGCTGCATTCAAGCAGAGAATATATCTTTTCTACATAGAAGAGATATGCATGTGCATTATTTACAAAGTCATTAGATGCACACCTATTTGAATTACAATGATCGAATAAGTGTTGGTTAAGTCACGATTACATGTTGAAAGGAAAACAAATGTCTGACATTATTTATTCATCATGTCAATATTCATATAATGAGTATCATCAGGCACCGAACGCACACACATATATAGAAAAATTTCCAATTGTTTCTTTTTATCATTTGTTGAGAGTACTGCATTCAAACATAACCTACTGTATATGTAGATAGTTTACTGTAGTCACATGGCTTACGCAAAACGAATTACTCTGTGGAACCCGGCAGTATGGAATTTGAAGAAAGGTTTTTTCCAACTACAAAAATATATGGGGTGGGAGAGGGGGGGGGGAAATGCTTAAAGTAGGAAATATGACAAAATGGAATGATTTTGAAGGAAACCGGGGGACGAAAGCCGTTGAGCACCACCGCACGCACGCACACACATATTGTGGCTTAACTCCGAGAAGAGGTTTTAGGAGCTATTCCTTACCCAGGTAAATTGTTTGAGTAAAGTGATCCTACCCATAAGGCGGAGCTAGGCTTGAACAAGATGCTAATGTCATTGTGAAAGGCCCTAATATATCAGTTCTTCTCTTGTTTGTGTTTCTTGTTTTCGATTTGGATCAAGGAATGGGAGATCTTTTGGATCCTGTATCGTTGAAATTGGTCCGTTGCGTGGTATGAGCGTAGCACGAGGTACTGTAATTCGAGATATTAGGGAGTACGGTAATACAGTAGGGAAGTTTCCTACTTGTTCCGTACAACTCCGTAGGTGGCAGAATCATAGGTGGTGTAAGCTGTGGTGGAGCGTAGACGCCACCGGGAGCAGAATACTCTGATCCAGGACCGCGTCTTATGGAGCCGGGTTCACTTCGTGGCTGAAATTTTACGAAAATAAAAAACCGATTTATCGATCGAAACGTGGAAAGTATGGAGTTCTTACATGTGGCTTTTTCATAGTGGGAGTTTCATGATTTACACCATGTCTATATGTTGATGTCGGCGTTACGGGTACACTAGCACCTGGTGGTGGTGGATACGGTAACGGACTACCGGAATACGGTGTTGAATAGATCTGATCCGGCATCAATGGGCGCCTAAAGCAGTAGCTAGCATAAAACAAAAAATTTGTGCAGCTGCACCAAAAACATACCCAGGTGGTGTGACAACGTAGAGTGGTTCGACCGTTTTATATGACGGTAACGTATTCACATGATACACATCTTTATTACGTTTGGCACAACAACAACAGAATCGTGCCAAGAACATTGAGAGTAGAATACCAGTAATACATAGTACGATTAGTACGGCGGCTATAAGACCGACGATTGGCTGAAAGAGAAGGGATTACGGTAGAATACGGTAGGTGCAGCTGCACAAGGAAGCTTGAGTCTAACAGAATCTCTTTTTGCTTGAGAGATCTTTTTTACTTAATTTTCACCTACCGTACCTCCGATGTCACATAAATCTTTGATTCAATTGACATTAGAAAATCCAAAAAAAATAAAATGCTACTCAATTTAGTTCGAAGATAATTTGCTTACTTTTTTATCCGAATAATAACCAGTCTTAGGCAACTTTTCCTATCAAATTTCGTATCAATAACCATGCATATAAAAAGGAAAAATCGATATATTAGAGGAGGATATAAAAACAAAATCTGTAAATTCCTCTTGAAACACAAAAGCAATTAATTGGTAGATTGCCAAATTTTGCTCAGCTTCTAATTGGTCAACTAGAGAGTTCTCGATCACAAAGTTTATAAAAGTAAATCTTTTTAATCCATCTCAACCCCTTCCTTAGCCGCATTTAGCGCATTAAACGGCTCTGATTTGCATTTTCAGTTAACCTCGTTGGGAGGTCGTTGCACGGTCGTAAATTAAGAGCATCGCGGTGTGTGTGTTGTGTATCTGCACGATTGACAAATTGACATACAACAAGGTCGATGGCAATGCTGTTGATCGTATCTCCACGAAGCAACACATTGATGGAAAAAAGTTTTCCTTAAATCGTCGGACGAGTAGGAGATTTTTCCTGACCTAAATGGACCTTCTAAGTCAGCTTTGCTGATCACTGAAAAGCTTCCAAAACATATTTCAAGCTATTTTAATCTGATTAGCTCCTGTTCCGCGCCTCCCAAAACTATGTAAAATCTAAGATTTAATCTTTCTCCGCTAGATTAATGGAGTGCGCGAGTGGAAATAAATAGCGCTGACCTTTTCAAACAAAGAGATTCATGAAAAATGGCATATAAAATCATGCCAGGGTCTTCCTGGCAGAAATTTAGGAAGAACCTGAATCAATCTGCTTCTTTAGTCTTCGTGGAACGCTATTTTTTGCAGAAACTCTATGGCTTGAAATCTGCAAGCTAAATTGGCAAGTTAAAGGGCTTAGTGAGCTATAGCGAGATGGATTTCATTTTGACACATTCACGACAATACGACCCACCGGTGGGTCGTACGTGTTCTGCCATCTCGGATACATACGACCCACCGGTGGGTCGTAAGATTCGTCAAACCCTAGCTTTTCCAGTTTACGATGAAATTTCACGGGGTTCTGGCTCATGATTGGAGACACTTAGGCGAAGCCCCAGACGGAGCGATCCGGGCTTCGGATACTGTAATGTAGTGTTACGGTAGGTATACCGTAGATAGAGATAAGGCACAAACTTTAGCTCAAATTTTTCGCAGAATGATGCTGTTTTTGAATGTTCAAGTGCACACGCACGAGAAATACAGGATGGGCAAAGACTGATGTTAGTCCATCAAAAAATATTGGTTTTATTGATTTTATTGATTTTTGCAATATTCATCCCGGAAAGCTCAAATCTTACATATACAGGTTTTATGGCATGCTGATTACGAAAATGATAGCCAGACGTTCTAATAACGTCTTCTTACATAGTTTCTTGATTTTTACGAGAATTCTACCGTATGCTACCGAAGTCGTACTGTGGAAAACTACTGAAAACTACCGAAATCTTATATATAAAGTTGAATGTCTGTTTGTATGTCTGTCTGTCTGTCTGTATGTATGTATGTGTGTACGTATGTTCCGAATAAAATTCCATTTCTGAACCGATCCGGACCAAACTTGGCACACATACACTACGGGCCCCGGCGGGTGTCATAGGCTACTTTTCGTCATCGATCAATATCGATTTTATCGATTTTTTGCAAAATTTGAGCTACGGGGCTGGGAGTTGGCACAGGGGGTAAGTGAGCATGGGGAGAATACAATATTAGTTTTTGAAATCGTGCATTACTTTTATCGATTTTACCGATTTTTTGCAAAGTTTGAGCTACGGAGCTGGGCTTTGACGGCGGAGCCGGGTAAGCCAGCTAGTAAATCATATTTTGGTAATCAGCGCCTTCGATAACTCTTGTGGGGAAATCCTCGGAGACATGTTTTCAATTTCTTCGGAAAGATGACCACTTCGGACAATACGACCCACGGGTAGGTCGTAAGTTTGACAAAGCGAAAAAGTCTCTGGTCCGAAACGGCAATAATCGATAAGTCGGCTTTGTCGTTGATGTGTTAAACATAACCTTGCGGCAAAAATACATAGGTACTATATCGAAAACGGCCGTTTCGCACGACAGTATCCGCGGAACATTGCCTGGCAAAAGCCCCCTTAGGGTGTGTCGCGTGCCTGTCTACGGTATTGTGGATCTGCCTATTTCTGTTATGAGCTCTAGAACTAATTCAAAAACTTTCGGAACCCGACGTTCCTCTTTCCACTGCAGTTTTCACTCTCAAATAAATGGTATTAATTTTGCCAAAGAGGAAAGTGCTACTTGTAGACCCCAAGTTGTTCAAAAAAAGATTTTCAAACTCACAGTCAAGTACGACAGCAAAAGAAATGAAGATAGGCCTTTACACTTACTGGGAGCTTCTTGACATAAACAATTTTTCTGAAGAAGATGACGTGAGTTCTATTTGAAACACCTCTTCCCTTTATTTCGTCCAGGAAGAAAACTGTGGTCTGTTGGATGTATTTCAGGTTGTCTCTTCTATTTTAACCCAATGACGACAACGCCTAATTTTGCGTGGCGGCGAGGTGAGACGACGCGATTTTGCACAACATTTTCAGGTGGGAAAGTTTTGTGATTGTTTACGAAATGTAAAGTTGTTTCGTAAACAACTATAGCCATCTGCTTGGGCCATGGTTTACGGGTTTTAAGAGTGCAAAAAATTGAAAAACATACTGAACTGTGGAAAAAATACTAGACCTGGAAAGGATTTTGGAAGGGGTGTGGGCCACAGGTGGTCCACATCCCCTGGCAGCAAAAACTGCGTGGGCCACCGGTGGTACACATCTTCGTCAATGGGTGAATTGGTATGATGCCAAAATATGCTTGGTCCTGCTGCTGCCCAATGTAAGCTGCCAACTAAATGCCACGAAAACCAACTATTTGTCAAAAGCGTTGATCTTTAGTACTCTATTCGACTCGCAAAGCCAAAAACTGAAAGTTGTATTTAAACTCAGAGGTCTTTGAAAAAAGGCAAATGGTTCAAAAAAGCGTTACTATCTAGTGAACCAGTAATTAAGGGTGCTAGACTGCATTCGCGCGCTGGGACCGCCCTTGGTTTCCCGCTATTGGAGGATTTTTGAATCGGCACTACAAATCTACATTGGCAAGGCTGCTTGTTCACAAACCTACGAACCTTTTATTCAGTATGGGTAACTCAACACCCAGAGATACCCTTTGATTCAGGATTGGCGGCTGGAATGCGGGACTTCAAGTCCTAATCAAGGCTAATGAATGATCAAAGAGCACGCTCGCAAGAGAGACGCAGACTGTGTCGCGGGTGCGAGCGGTCGCCTTTCAGCCCCTCAATCCCGTTGAATCAAAGCGTACGACAATTTCAAAGTAAAGGTCCGCCCAAAAGGAAAAAAAAAACAACAAATCTGCTTACCAGCCATGATTCAGCCCTTTGCACAGGGTTTGAGACGACGTCTTTGTAGTTACTCAATAAAAACTGTAACGCCAGTGAGTTATCAGTATCCGAGCTCGTACTCTAAATCAATAAAAAAAACTTTTTGTAGGTTCTGAACCCATTGTAATATAAGTGATATTGGATGTCTCACGAATGACAGAAGAAAACAATAAGTGCGAAGTGAAAGAGACCAGTTTTCGCCTAAAAAATTCTAAAACCTACCTTAGCAGCCAGGTCATGAAGTTTTTCCATATCTTCGTCGGTAAGCAACACAAACGAATCGCCACCACGGAATGTGGCCAACTGAAATGGGGTGAGATAAATATGAGCAGATCGGATTCTCCAAATTCCCAAAAGTGCGACACAGGTGTAGAAACGATGAAAATTACGCCAATTGTACTTGTCTTACGATTTTTTTCTCTCTTTCCCCCCCCCCCCCCCTCCTTTAATGTCTCATCTCAGAAGAAAATCTGCTGCTAATTCCAAAAGCTTTATTGGTGAATCCGCATGACTCTATGTCAACGTTTGCAAATTTTAATTTTGTTACAAATTTCAGAATAAAATTGTTCTGAACGTGCACGTACACGAAATATAATACTAAATTATAATAAATAAATATATATACAGGGTGTCCCAAAAGTAAGTATCGAACGTTTGATCGTTAATAACTCTCTTCCCAAGAAGTCTTTTGCCTTGCTTCAGGTACCGTTTTGTAGAGCTGGCTTCAACTTAGATTTGCAGTATAGAACGAATCACTCATTTCTCTTCATTACTGTAGGATTACGGTAGAAACTTCAAGGAGGGTTTTAAGCAATGAAAGGCCATATTTTGCCCCAGAAAGGAAACAAAACAGCCTTAAAACTTTTACACTAGGCTAATTAGAGTTGCTGATTATAACTGTAAAGTTCCCAACTTATTATGATGCTTCATTGAAGAGTTATGCCAGGTAAGAAGTAGCGGCCATTTTTTCAATGTTCCTAAAAAGTGGGATTGCACGGTTTGGAAAGCTTCGTAATCTTGTGAATAGTTAATTATTGAACTCAGCGTCCATAAAAACCCTATTACACAAGTTTTCATGATTTTTTGAAAAATTTTGAAACGGCAGCTTTTTTCACATTAACGCCATATGTTTCAAGTTTCTACCGTAATCCTACAGTAATGAAGAGAGATGAGTGATTCGTCCTATGGTGCAAATCTAAGTTGAAGCCAGCTCTACAAAACGGTACCTGAAGCAAGGCAAAAGACTTCTTGGGAAGAGAGTTATTAACGATCAAACGTTCGATACTTACTTTTGGAACACCCTGTATATATATATTACTGAAAAAATTCTACTTGTTTCTGCATACATGAAACCTGCACAGATTACATTTATGTATGGGATAACGAGGAGGAGGGTAGGAGGGGAGGGGGTAGGGGGGGAAGAGTTTGTCCGCCTTTTTAGCTACTTTTTTCTTTGATTAAAAATACGAAAATATTGCAAGTGCATTTTATAGAAGACAATGCAATTCTACAGTGTCTCAGTTGCTCTAACATTTAGTGCAAATTTTAAAAGATAAATGTGACATATTTTTGTGGCTGAAAATACTTCAGGCAACTAAGCGGAACTTCCGCAGAACGGTTGGGAAAGTTCCGGCGGGTCACCTGCGGAAGTTCCGTAAATGTGAGAGATTCCGAAGAATGCGATCCACAACAACAAAAGAGAACACTTAAGTGAAGTTTGGACCTTACTCTACTGAGTGTGAAATTCAACTACTATCCTCTGCACAACGGATGACATGTTCGATAATGCATTCTAGTTGTTGGCGAGGCAATATCATGCTAGACAACATATTCAAAATCCTGCGGAGTACTGGCATATCAATGTTCTGCGAATCCGCTGGCATTTTTCGGAAATTCCACAGCTTTTGCAAAAAGTCCTGCGGAATTTCCCGTTTTTACCAAGTCAGACCTAAGAATTCTGCGAAAGTTCCCAATTTCAACGTTTCTTTTGCAGTAAGAAACAAAATCCTGCGGAATCGCTTGATTTTGCTTGTCCTGCGGAAATTCTGAGTAGGGAAAAATATACCCAAAATGGCGGTTCCTTCCCCCCAGCCATCCCATTTCCCCTCTGAAGGGCGGAGTTGGCCATTGTATGGATGTTATTTTCTACAGATCTCTCTCTGGCAACATGGCCAAAAGTTGTTTTTTTGTACGTATCCCAGCATTTTTATAAAATATTCTAAATGATGCTGCCCTATCAAAATGGTAAAATAAAGTTCTTGTTTTCTTTTTTCTCCCATCTTTTTGTATTCCTGTTAATGTTTTTTCAAAAAAAAACACGCTCGTAATGTGGCACAACGTTCAGAAGAAGAAGAATAGGCAAAAACAAATAAATCAAGGGACTCCTAAGAAACTTCATCAACCTACCGCTAGATGCCTAGTGATGATCATTGAATACTCAAGCAGATAAAAATGCCGGTGTAAAGCGAATAAATAATAAAATAACTGTACAAGAGCATTTTTGGATCATACAGATGTAAGGTCATACTACGCTGCATGACATAATTACCGAAAACTAGTCCTCACACTTTTTTTCTGTTGCCAATGTAAATATTGCTAATGTTACTGGTAAATGAGCATGTCGTTGATGGGACGAGATCGAATATAAACTTGCAAAAATCAGGGCCAAATCACGTGGATAAAAAAAATACTTTGCAGAATGCACACTGGAGGGACTAGTGTTTGCACTAAAAAAATACTTGGTGATATAATTGCACGCTACGAATTGTTATGCAAAAAATACATAAACTAATTCTTGCCATTATGACATTTTTGGGTCCAGTATATCCAAATGTGCGAACTGCAGCAAGTTGCACTTGTAGAGGAAAACTTTCACGGAGACCAGTTCTCGCTTGAAGACACGTGAGTTCCAAAAAGTGTGAATTTATTTCGATATCTCCATAAGATGCATCGATGGGATGGCACTTCCATGAGCAGGGACGAATAGTATGGTATTAGTAGCTCTATGACGAGAACTGGTCCCCGGCATTAAGCACGCAAATAGAGATAGTCTAGACATTTATCTATAATCATTATCAGGAAACTCACACTTGTTTTTCGAGAATGTTAGGGGACGAGGTTTAGTCCAGAATTAATCGGGCTAATTTTAAATCTACGGGTAAGATAAAAGTCAAGGTTTGCACGTGAAAGTATAAATGTAATGACACTGGCTACGGCGAGAAGTGGTCCCTATATCTCCAAACTGTAAGTTCGCCAGCCGATTGACAGTCGTTAGCTAAGAGACACCAAATGACAGACAACCCTGCTAAAAAAAATCGAGCGTGAGGACCAGTTTTCGCCTCATATTTCTTCAGCTTAAGCAATCAAGATGTATAAACACAAGCAATGGTTTTTTATTTGAAGAGATAAATATTTGGATACCGGCTAAGGCGAGAACTGGTCTCCATAAGTGGGAGTTCGTTAGCTAATAGACACCAAATGAAACGAAACGTATATGCTGTATTATACGAGTGAAATTCTAGAAGATGCGTATTCCTTCTTAAGAGTATTATGCATGGGGACCAGTACTCGTTTCAAAACATTCAAACACAGGCACGTTTAGATGATGAATAAATAGAGGCTACGACATTACTCTAGAAGATGAAGACTATTGAAATGCTGACTAAGGCGAAAACTGGTCCCCAAAGCTGTGAATTTGCAAGCCAGTAGACATCAGATGAAACAAAAAATGCAGATTTTGGATAAGAGAACTTCGCATGGGACTAGCATAGTCAGAAAATGGGTTGCTTTTCGAACTGTTTCTGGAAATTGAGTAGAACAACGATTTTTGTAGATAAAACTGTCAAGGTATTGCCAATGGCGAGCGAGAACTAGTCCTCAAAAGTGACCCGCCATGACTGATGTTAAAACAGCCATTAGCCTAGGTGGCATGAGCGAATATGCAACAATGGTCGAACTTCGTGATGCTGATAGCAAAATCTATTTTCTTTCGTCATGTGACAAAGCGCAGAATTCTCTCTTCACTTCAAGGTCGTTGAAATTTTTTCCTTCTTAAGATAGCAGAAAATGCAAATGTTCATTAGATGAGTGGAAAACGGGTCTGAGCGTTCCAATTTTCCGCGCCTTTTTCTTGAAAGAAAAGCCAATGATTGCCATAAATTTTACGTTGTAAATTATGTTCGAATAATAAATGGGAAAATGGTAGCATGGCAAGTTTTCTGTAGTGTGTGGTTGTGATAGCCGCGATGAAAATCGTTGATGAAATGAGCGAATTGAGAAAAAACGCGAAAACAGGTTCTGTGATTTGCGCTTTAAAAAACTATGAATTTTCTTTTTCTGGCATTAACATTGCTTGCCCATCATGTTTGGGCTGCCACACAGGACATATAACATATTCTGAGGTACGATGGGCTTCATAAGATGCCCCGCTCCCTCCCCGCCCCTTCTATTATAAGAATCTAAATAACTCCAAAGTTACAGTCATGGTACTGATGATCGATGTCTTGTGCCTTGTTTACTGATACCAAGCATTCCAGACGATCAACACCCCCCGTACCTTAGATTGCGACATTGGAAACCTGTTCCCCGTTGACAAACAGCATCAATCGAATGGACAGTTTCCGTTATGTGGGGAAAAACGCGTGGAACTATCTTTGGTTCAGGTTGGCAACATAGCATGAGCTTCAGCTTTGCTATAAAAAAACTCGAAGGAGACTTGCTTATAAAATTGAAATACTTGTTAGTTTTAAAGTGGTTTTTCTTTAGAAATCACACAACATTTCCAAAAGAAAGCCCAGTTGGTACTATCTGCCACGCCCATTTTCGATTTGAGGACCCTATAATGTGAAAAGTCCAATCGGTGCTGTCTGTCACGCCCACATTTTATTTAAAAATTCTGAAGAATTTCTTGTAGAAAGCTCAGTTGGTACTATCTGCCACGCCCCTTTCTTATTTGAGAATTTTACAATGTGAACAGCTCAGTCGGTGTTGTTTGCCACGCCCACATCATTTTGCTTACAAATTCTGCAAAATATTTTAAGCTCAGTTGGTACTATCTGCCAGGTTTTTTTATTTGATAATCCTGCGACGTGAAAGAAATCGCTGTTGTCTGTCACGCTCATATTTTGTTTGAAAATTCTTCGATCTTGAAGAAAGCCCACTTTGGTACTACTTGCCATGCCCATTTTTGTTTGAATCTATTAGACGTACTCGGATCTACAGAAACATCACATCGACTAAGGTTTTGAGATTTATAGGGGATTTTGTGAAGAAAAAGATTTGGTACCTTCCTGCCACGCCCACTT